CTTTGTCACCGAGGCTGGAGGGCAGTGGCGCGATCTTGGCTCACTGCAACCTTTGCCTCCCTGGTTCAAGCAATTCTTGAACCTCAGCCTCCTGAGTAGCTGGGTTTACGGGCATGTGCCACCACACCCAGCTAATTTTTGTATTTTTGGTAGAGATGGGGTTTCACCGTCTTGGCCAGGCTGGTCTTGAACTCCTGATCTCAAGTGATCCACCCCTCTCGGCCTCCCAAAGTGCTGGCATTACAGGCGTGAGCCACCGCACCCAGCCCATTTATTTAGTAACTGTTTATTATTCTTCCATTCTAAACCTTTGCACCTTTAAGTTCATTTCCTCGGCTTATCCCCACATTTCATTGTCTATCATTTACCAAATATGATAGGGTCACCATTTCTTACATAATTCAGTATGTTGACATGTAGGGAAATGTTTGCCAGTGATTCCCTGCTCTTTGGCCAAAAAGTAATGCACTCTCAAAGGTACTGAAAAGAATCTTAATCTCCCTATGATGGTAGGGGACAGTGTGGGGGGACTGCTGAGGAGTTTGTGCACTGGGGTGGTATGAGGTATATTCATGAAAGCAAATAAAAGCACCCTAGGTACAGCAGTATCAACAATCAAGTCAACCTATGTGAAGCTAGATCGGAGGGGATCTCACAGATTTCCTCAAACACTAATCCCAGTCTCACGTATACATCTGCATCTAGCACCGAAAGCCAAGGAAAAGCTCCTTCAATCTGGGGCAGGGTAATGGGAGACTGTATACAAAAAGGGATCTTTCTCACAGTGTTTTTTGGGGAAAACGTTAAACAATTCTGAGTATGGGAGTTCAGCGCAAACAAAGATTTGAGAATTTTTAGCCTATTTATTCTGACAAAATACCCAGCATGTATCTACAACTTTTTTTTTTCAAACTTTTTTTATTATCACAGTTGAAATAATTTCTACATTGTAATTTAGAATGCATGCACACATGCATGTGCACACACACACACATATACATACACACACACTTCTATAAGTAAACCAAAAGTGGTCAAACATCAACTTTCAAAACATTGTGTCTCACGACGATGCCTGTCCCAGTCAAGGAGCCAACATTTGTATTTGCCTGAGGAAAAGGTTGTGATGGGGGCGAGGGTGGATTTCGCTTGTAAGGCTGCTCGTATTTCACTGTGTTTCTTTGTTTTTTTAATTTGATGACACCTTCAAGAGATAAATGGCGACAATTTGTTACACCAGATATTTGACAAATTGGGACAGTATTTTATTTTAATTGTTAGAGACAGGGTCTCACTCAATTGCACAGGCTGGAGTGCAGTGGTGCCATGATAGAGCACTGCAGCCTCAACCTCCTGGGCTCAAGCAATCCTCTCATCTCAGCCTCCCTGGTATCAGGGACTACAGGTGTGCACCACCATGGCTGGCTGTCCTTATATATAAATATAAATACAAATATAAATATAAATATAGTATATGTGTATATATGTATATATGTATATGTATACATACATATATGTATGTTTATATAAATATCTATATATGTATATATAAATATATGTACATATATAAAATATATATATACATATATACACATATAAATATATTTATATATAAATATATACATATAAATATACGTACATATATAAATATATATTTATATATAAATATACGTACATATATAAATACATATTTATATATAAATATATGTACATATATAAATACATATTTATATATACATGTTTATATACATATATATATACACACACGCACATATATATGTATTTTCAGAGACAGGGTCTTGCTCTGTCACCCAGGTTGGAGTGCAGTGGTGCAAACATGGCTCACTGCAGCCTCCACTTCCTGGACTTGAACAATCCTCTTGCCTCAGTCCCCAAGTAGCTGGGACTACAGGTGCACACCACCAAGCCCAGCTAGTTATTCATTTTTTGTAGAGAAGATGGGGTTTCACCATGTTGGCCAGGCTAGTCTCAAACTCCTGAGCTCAGGCAATCCGCCTGCCTTGGCTTCCCAAAGTGTTGGGATTACAGGTGTGAGCCACTGCGCCTGGCCAATTTTAAATAAATGAGCATTTACTCACATAGAACCCTTGAATTACAAAGCTGGTGCCACCTTAGAGATCATCTGAGGCCCACCAATAGTGTTTTGGGGAGTTTTGAGAAAAACACCATGCCCAGGCCTGACTCCAGACAAACTGAATCAGAAGCTCAAGGGATGGGACCAAGGGGCATTTCCACTTTTAAAGCTCCACAAGTGATTCCAACATGCAGCCAGGATCAAGAAACAGCTCCAGTCTCACTATTTCATTTTACCAATAAAGATCTAGAAGTTCAGACAGATGAAGTCACCTGCCTAAGGTCACACTGCCAGTAAGTGGTGTCTCACAACCAGCTCCTCTGACTGCCAACCCAATGTTCTTTCCACTATGTTCTTTTTTTGTTTCTTCTTATAGAAAGAACTTAGGGTTTTACTGAACATTAAAGTTATACAATTTACAATTGAGAGAGAAGAGCTAGGGTCCAGTAAGTATTGGTGGGGCATCTCCAGAGGGCTCAACGCAATTGTGGGTTCTCTGAAGACTACTATGCCCAGGATATAGCTCCTGCCAAGTCTCATTGATGGCAGTCAAATGACATTTTGCTAAAGGCAATGACTAACACTGTATGCAGTGTTCATTAGTCTTGTGTTGGGTCACTTGTTCACAAATTAGTTTCACCTATGATAGTAAACATTCACTGACAAATGTTCTCACTTTCAGGAATTAATTACATTAAAGTAAACAATAGTGGGACAGATCAGTGGTTCTTAATGTTTGAATTAGGGTGGTTTATTAACCTTAATATTGGTTAGGGCAGGGAGTCACAGGTCCCATTGGAGAACTAGTGAAAACTACAAACTTCCCCACAAAAATACACATACATAAATGTTGCATGTAATTTCTGAGGATTCACTGACACCCCTCCCATCCTGCCTAAACTCATACATAGACTCCAGATTAAAATCTCCTGGACTAGATGATTTTGAAGCTCTCTTTTAGTGTTTCTCAAAGTGTGGTCCATGGACCACAGAATCAGAATCACTTGGGGTGTTTGTTAAAGAAGAGATTCATAAGACTGCCACAGACCTACTGTTTCAGAATCTCTGGGGAATGAGGTACAGGAATCCGTATGTTAAAACAAACAAACAAACAAACAAAAACCAGATGGTTCTTTTGGAAACTAACACTTGAGAGTCAGTGCTTTATTCCAACTGAACATTTTTAAATGCTTTCATCTGTTGAATATTTTAGGTTTTGTCTGTTCATCTATCAAGTATAGCAAACAGTATGCTTAGTATTAACTCATTACAGAATATTTGTGTGTACGTACATAGGAAAAACACCTGGAAGTGTAGATGTGGGTGTGTGTATATATGTGTGTAAATATATATAATAGTGTTAATAGTGGGAATACAGATCTCTATTTTTCCCCCTTTATCCTTCTGTTTTATTTCTCTCATTTTTTTTTCTTCCTGTGTTTTAAAAAATATGCTTCTTGTTTCTGAGCTCAATTCCCCCATCTGAGAACAGGGTGCTGTAACTAGGTGAACTTCAAGATCATGTCTTGTTCCAATGGTCCGTGACTCCATACTATCCTCTAGGTTCCCTCGTCCATCTCACAGCATGAACTGCATAGGTAACAACAGTGTTTGGAGAATAAGCATGTATTATTTTTGTATGTATTACGTTTGAGATGCCTAGCAACCGTTTTTGTGCCCGCAAAATTTTTCTCTTCTTTGTCAAGGAGCCAAAACGGAAATAGTCTACTATCTACGGCCCTCTAAAGTTCCTCCTCTCTCCTTAGCCTTAGAAAATACCGTCCGCCATAGGCATGGGCAAAGACTTCATGACTAAAATACCAAGAGCAATTGCAACAAAAGTCAAAATTGACAAATGGGATCGAATTAAAAGAGCTTCTGCACATCAAAAGAAACTAGCATTAGAGTGAACAGGCAACCTGCAGAATGGGAGAAAATTTTTGCAATCTACCCATCTAACAAAGGTCTAATATCCAGAATCTACAAGGAACTTAAACAAATTTACAAGAAAAAAACAACCCCATCAAAAAAGTGGGTAAAGGATATGAACAGACACTTCCCAAAAAAGACATTTATGTGGCCAACAACATGAAAAAAAGCTCATCATCACTGGTCATTAGAGAAATGCAAATCAAAACCACAATGAGATACCATTTCACGCCAGTCAGAATGGCGATTATTAAAAAGTCAGGAAACAATAGATGCTGGCGAGGCTGAGGAAAAATAGGAATGCTTTTACGCTGTTGGTGGGAATGTAAATTAGTTCAGCTGTTGTGGAAGACAGTGGGGCGATTCCTCAAAAATCTAGAACCAGAAATACCGTTTGACGTGTGCACACGTATGTTTATTGCAGCACTATTTACAACAGCAAAGACTTGGAACCAACCCAAATGCCCATCAGTGATAGACTGGATAAAGAAAACGTGGCACATATATACCATGGAATACTATGCTGCCATAAAAAAAAATGAGATCGTGTCCTTTGCAGGGACATGGATGAAGCTGGAAGCCATCATCCTCAGCAAACTAACACAGGAACAGAAAACCAAACACTGCATGTTCTTACTCATAAGTGGGAGTTGAACAATGAGAACACATGGACACAGGGAGGGCAACAACACACACGGGGGCATGTCAGGGGGTGGGGGCCAAGGGGAGGGAGAGCATTAGGAGAAATACCTAATGCATGTGGGGCTTAAAACCTAGATGAAGGGTTGATAGGTGCAGCAAACCACCATGGCACATGTATACCTATGTAACAAAGCTGCACATTCTACACATGTATCCCAGAACTTAAAGTAAAATTAAAAAAAAACAAAAAAAGACAGAAAAAGAAAAAGAAAATGCCGTCCGCGCATATCTCTTAGGCGCATAGGAAGGGTTGTGAACCAAAAAGCCAGGGCGTGGTCGCCCCGCCCACCGGCCTCTACATCACCACCCCTCTCGCCGCTTTCAAGCGCGGAGATTGGCTGTAAGCAAGAAAGAGCCCCGCCCCTAGTCTTATGACTCGCGCTAAAGCGCCGATTCCTGGCTTTTGCAAGGCTGTGGTCGGTGGTCACCCGTGCTCTTGACCCAGGTCCAGCGAGCCTTTTCCCTGGTGTTGCAGCTGTTGTTGTACCGCCGCCGTCGCTGCCGCCGTCGCCTGCTCTGCGGGGTCATGGTGTGCTTCCGCCTCTTCCCGGTTCCGGGCTCAGGGCTAGTTCTGGTCTGCCTCGTCCTGGGTGAGTTGTCGGGCCCTCCCGATTAGTCTGTCCGCCTGGGCCCGGGGCGCCAGTTCAAAGCTACAACCTGAAAAACTGGTCCGAGGGGGCGGGGGGTGAGAGGCTCAGCAACTGACACTGGGCGGCGGCGATTGGCCCGAGGAGGCGAGCGGTGACCTAGAGAAGGCCTGACAGAGGGATGGCGGGGAAGAAGGGCCCAGGAGAGTAAGAAGGGGCCGGTAACGGGGGGTGGACGCCGAGGGAGTAGGCTGGGAGGAGTGAAGCGTGGAGAGGGTCAGGGTGGAAAGAGTAACTTGGGGAAAACACTGAGGAGTGAGCGTAGGAGGGTGGTACATGCAGATTTTGGGCGCCAGAGACAATTAGGAGAGTCCTGGTTTGCTGAGATCAGGGAAGAGTTTTGAAGATGGTGGAAAAACTATGGGGTGAGATAGGAAATTAAGAGAGGAGACCATGCCTGCCTGGAGTAGCTTGGGGGAAGAGTGTGGGTGGGGGACAGATGGAACAGATAGGACAGTAGAGCCTGAGGGGCAGGGGCAGGGACAGGGTTGGGCATTTTGAAGGTTGGAATTTGAGGCTGTGAAGAAGGGGTGATTCAAGAGATTAGGAGTGATGCTGGGTTTGAGTTTGGTAGTCATAGTTTTAAGGGCGAAGGAGCCTAAGGTAGCTGGGGCAATTTCCAGGAAAGAAAACTTGGACCCAGCCTCTGGAGACTAAGGGGTTCGGTGGGAACTTTGATGGGGAGTGCACATCTGACTTGGAGGTATTAAGGATGTCGATTTTCTCCCAGTTTTGCTACTTCCTCCCAGCCAGACGCTGACAAAAAAATCCCCAGACGTTTCAGTTAGGAGGGCCTCCCAGATGAGAGGTTTTGATAGACTGAGTTTGGTAGACTACCTCTTTGCCTTCAGAGTCTCTTGTTTTCTTTCTTCCCTATCACACTAGCCTATTACTTCATTTTTTGGGGGGGTGCAGGGAGCAGGTAGACAACTTGCTAAGGATTGGGTTGTTACCAGGGCCTCATTAGAATGGCTGGATGGGGCCGGGCGCGGTGGCTCACGTCTGTAATCCCAGCACTTTGGGAGGCCGAGGCAGGTGGCCTCACCTGAGGTCAGGAATTCGAGACCGGCCTGGCCAACATGGTGAAACCCCGTCTCTACTAAAAATACAAAAATTAGCCAGGCGTCGTGGCACATGCCTGTACTCCCAGCTACTTGGGAGGCTGAGGCAGGAGAATCGCTTGAACCCAGGAGGCGGAGGTTGCAGTGAGCCGAGATCGTGCCATTACACTCCAGCCTGGGTGACAAGAGTGAAACTGTCTCTCTAAATAAATAAATAAATAAATAAATGGCTGGGTGAATGTTCGCTGATTGTGTTGTGCCCTAATAGGCAGTGGGTCCCTAACAGCTTTAATGCCTAAAGATGAACTTTGACTAGTGTCTCTTCCTGACTTGATTCATGCTGTGCTTGTTGCTACCCACCTGCTCTTGCTATTTGTGACTTAATAAAATAACATAAAGAACAGACCCAGATGGAAGTGGGGAAGAAATAGACTTATTAGGGGTCTGAGAAAGCAGTGAGAGGTATACATTTTGTAATTAACATTTCAGTAGAATAAAATCAACACCCTGGAATAGTCATTCTCCACCAGGGGACATTTGGCAACTTTTGGAGACATTTTTGGTTGTCACAACTGGGGGATTGCTTTTAGCCTCTAGTGGGTAGAGGCCAAGGATGCTGCTAAACATCCTAACTAAGCACAGGGCAGCCCCTCACAACAAACAATTATCTTCCTGAAAATGTCATTGATAAACCCTGCTCAAAAACCATAGTATTGGAAGGGTTCTTGATTATCTAATTCAGTGACTCTCAAGGACCTTTTCATGGGTCTATGAAATCAAACCTTTGGAATAATGTTAAGAAGGTATTTGTCCTTTTCGGCTGGGCACAGTGGCTCACGCCTGCAATCCCAGCACGCTGGGAGGCTGAGGCGGGTGGATCACCTGAGATCAGGAGTTCAAGACTAGCCTGACCAACGTGGTGAAACCCAGTCTCTACTAAAAATACAAAAATTAGCCGAGTGTCGTGGCACATGTCTGTAATCCCAGCTACCTGGGAGGCCAAGGCAGGAAAATCGCTTGAACCCGGGAGGCGGAGGTTGTGGTGAGCCAAAATTGTGCCACTGCACTCCAGCCTGGGCAACAAGAGCGAAACTCCATCTCAAAAAAAAAAGAAAGTATTTGTTCTTTGTCCTTTTCACGCTCATCCTCTCACCAGTGTACAGCGGAGTTTACCAGTGGCTACATAACATGTGATGACCTCACCACTCTGATGTTCTTATATTTTATTCATTTCTCAGTTTTAATTTCTAATACTCTAAATACCAATACATATGACTCACATAAACCTCTGTGAAGTCCTCAGTGGATAAGAAAGTAAAGGGGTCCTGACACCAAAACGTTTGGTAGTCCAACTGTTCATAGGGTGCAGGAAACTCTTCTGTAGCACTTCTGAAAGGTGGCCTTGAGGCAGGCTTTGCTTGAATACTTAATTCGAAGCCTTAACTGTCCCTTGGAGCACTTACTGAGGGCCAACTGACCCTAAGAAAGGATTGTTTACAATGGAAAGTACCTTATCAGTGACTAGAACACATCTGACCAAGGCATCTGTTAATCAGTAGTTCCCTGCCAGTTGAATCTGTGCACAAATACAACACTGCTATTGTTTGGGGAAAGTGAAAAAAATAATAGTTGTCCTACTTGTTGGCTTTCATGTCATTAAATTTTTTTTGTTTTTTAATGAAAGCTTTTTTGTTTTGTTTTTACAAAAGCAGTGCTTACTCATTGCAGAAAATAAACATGCAAAAAGAAGCACATGAAAGAACCCATCAGCTCATCTGCTAGTTTGCCATTTACTGATCGGGACTAACTAGATTCATCCTCTTGGAAAATTTCCAAGATTGATCCCCTCCACCTCCAAGTTCAGAGCAGGATTTGGAAAAGTAAATATTAATAATGTACCTAGATCGGATTTTTAAGAGGTTCCAGGATGAAATAGAAACCATTCTTCTATACAGCTGCATTTTCTGATGGCTACTGGTTCAGTGTGGAGCCCAAAGTCCTCCCATATGGCTTTTTCTCTCAAGAATTTAGCAGTTGCTTGGTGGGTTTTGCGCAAGTTACTTTTCTGTATCAAAATGGATACCAAGAATAGGTTTTTGAAAACTCAGTAAATATTTGTAAAGTACCTACTATGTAGCTAGATCAATAAATATTTGTGAAGTATCTACTATGTAGCTAGAACTGTGCCTGGGTACTGTACAGGGTGCCAATGAAGAAGGACCTGTCCTAAATTTATAGTCTTATTAGCATTAGTGCTCTAGCTGTGCCAGTTTGACTTTGTAACTTTATAACTCTATCCCAGCTTCACCTGTAACCTTTTAAAAACAGCAGCTTTAGAGTAAGTACAGAAAAGGATTCTTAGAGGCTATATATTGGTCTTTTTCATAGAGATTAAATTATGCTGGTGTTTATTTGGATGAATTGTAACTGACCAGATAACTTTCCGAAGAGAAGCTATATGATTTAGAGGTGTTATAAAGTGGATAGTGAAAATCCTTTCTTTATATAATTGCCTAATTATGGTCCTTTTGTGACATCATAGATTTCAGGATTCTTCTGTGGTTATTGATTCTTATAACTAGCTTGACTTCTGTTTTTTGGTTTCTTTGTGTTTGTTGTTGTTGTTTTTTGGTTTTGGGTTCAGATTTTTCTTTTTTAGATTTGAGTCTTTTCTGGGTGGGAAAAACCTCACAGAAATATTCTTAGTGTCCGTCACTGGTAGGAGCCTCTCCCTTCCACACATGTTTACAGAATGCCTATTGTGTCCCAGCCACTATATTAGGTGAAAGTGACAGAGGAATGGATAAGACAGATGAGTTTCCTGCTCTCATGGAGCTTACATTTTAGTGGGAGAAGAAAGCTCAACAGATAAATAACATAATGTCAGATAGTGATAAACACTATGAAGAGGTTGGGTGTGGTGGCTCACACCTGTAATCCCAGCATTTTGGGAGGTCAAGGCAGGCAAATCACCTGAGGTTAGGAATTTGAGACAAGCCTAGCCAACATGGTGAAACCCCATCTCTACTAAAAATACAAAAATTAGCTGGGCATGTTGGCCGGTACCTGTAGTCCCAGCTAGTCGGGAGGCTGAGGCAGGAGAATTGCTTGAATCCAGGAGACAGAAGTTGCAGTGAGCCGAGATCATGCCACTGCATTCCAGCCTGGGGAACAAAAGCAAAACTCTGTCTCAAAACAAAACAAAACCCTATGAAGAAGATTACACAGGTAATGAGAAAGGAGAATGAGTAGATGATAGGAATGGGTGATGGTGGATGTTCCTTCTTTATATTATGTGGTCAGAGGGCCTTCCATTATTGGGTGACATTTGGGCAGAGACCTGGGTGTTGGCAGGAGGCCAGCCATTTGACCATCTGGGGAAATAGGAATAAACCTTATCATTTGCAAAATCTTAGGTTACTAGCCTATTTTCCACTCTCTTTTGTTTCCTCCTAGTTTTAATCAAGTCTCTCCTATGGTAGCAGTCTTTAAGAGCAGAGACTACTTTATGTACTGTTATCTCCCATTTCCTACTTAGCATAGGGTCTGGTACATGGTTAACCCTTAGTAAATTTTTGTTGAAGATATTCATTGGTGGGCACTAGGGATATGATGGTAAACTAGACTCATTTAATCTCCTTTTTCTTCCATGAATTTTAAATGATGTTTTGCAAGAAGTACTTTTGGATTGAAAACTTCAAGATCAGTGCTAAGCAGTACAGATAATTATACAGTAATTTACTAAAGTATAATCCCATATAATAATGCTTACCTGTACTCCTTCAGATATACCTCCATAGTCTTGAAGGGGATGATATGGAGAATTAGGAAGTCCTTGGTGAGGAGAGTTAGGTTTTCACAAAGTTAGGTTTTCTCTGAGAG